CCCAGTTTGTCTGATATAGTGTTTTGGGCAGTTCTTGCAGTTTATTTCGTAGACAACACTCCTCTTGTCCTTCTCCACCGTTCTCTCCTTAGATTTTCACAGATGTCCCCTTAGAAAGGAGATTTAGATTCCGTATGATGTGACCAGTCTTTGTGTCACTTCCGAAACGTCCTTGATGTACGACCGCATGTCTGAAGGAACGTCTATCGAAACCTAAGGAGGGAACAATGGAGAAGGACAAGATGAGTGTTATCTATCTATCTATCCATCTATCTATCTTTCTATCTATCTATCTATCTGCAAGAACTGCCCAAAACACTATATCAGACAAACTGGGTGAAAAATGTCAACAAGGATCCGTGAACATCAATCGGCCGTCAGGAGACATGACCCATTATCGTTGATTTCCCTCCACAAAGATCAAGAAGGATATCAGTTTGACTTCCAATCAGTGAGAATTACCGACCAAGCCCGGTCAAAACACACCAGAGAATTTCTCGAGGCATGGCACTCGTCAATCAACTCAATAAACAGATATGATATATATACATATATATATTTAACTTTTCATCACCAAATACATCTTTACCATCATTAAACGAATTTCAATAGTAATCAAAAACCTTACTTGCTTGGCGTTCCGATTATATGTCAATCAATAATTAATTGACTGAACGTTTTAAAATCTGGTCTTTTTTAAGTACTCTTTCTTCATGCAAACACCACTTAGAAAACTGAAATTAACTGCGTCTTTTCATCAATCTCTTGATGAAATTAATTGCACAAAAATAAATCCTAGAGTTTTTTCACAACTTTATGTTTATGGATTTTTTCTCTCTTTCTATTGCATTGTCATACACAGATTGTCAAAGTGACAGAAACAAAAGAGGAATTGTGATAACAATCTTTTTCCTGGCTCTCTGAAGAAACAAACGATCTCGTGTTACCCACCTACATCTCACTGGATTCGCATGCTAAACTGTGTATTTGAATGTCACCAGAAAAATACAATGTTTGTATTGGTTGAACTATTCTAAATAGACTTTTATTCCTATTGCAATTCTAGTCAGAATATTGATTTATTCAGTTTGGAAGAGTAGGTTACTGAAAAGTCAGTTAAATTGTGATAAATAATGTGACAAACTAAATCAAAAAATGCTACTCATGCCAAGAAAAAAGCATAACACCTTCGATCATTGACTGAGATTGAACGTGGATTACGGATGCAAAACCCTGTTGGAGTACAAAATGATTTTCTGTCTTTTCAGTTTGTCAATGAGATTCATTCGACTTACACGAGGGGAACATTTACGTGAAATGTAAACTTCAATGTCATGTGGACGGCAACCAGATAGTGTTGGGTGTTTCGGGAATTACTCACTGTAACTTTGCACCAGTATCTTTCTATTCAACTCAAACGAAGATCAGGGAAACTGCTCCTAACAGTGCTAAACATAAATTACTTTGGTTTACGACATTTTACTCTCTGTGAAGACAGTTGGTGGTTGGGGTGTTGATGACGATGAAGATGGAATACAAATTTGCCGTCACTAGACTGAAATGGGTTCTACAAATAAGCAGTTATACCGTCTCCTCTATCAAGTATACATTAGATATCACCGAATGAACCCTGAGGTTAATTTTTTCTGTAAAAATTGTGTTATTTAGCAATCAATGAGACTGTCGCCTTAAGTCCTCTAAATGTGGAGCGATCAGTTCTTTCGAAATAGCCTCTTTGCTCAGTTTATATAGTGCTTCAGCTGCATAGGGGTGTACACGCCTTCCGTGCCTGGATTCCAATTCCATCCAGGCTGCTAATAATCTCACTATTCGAAAAATTAAACAGCTTTCTTCCATAGCGTGCAACACATCATAATTTGCACAGAGTTAACAATTATCGTTAAATGCGTAGGCGGTTTTATTCAGCAAGAACGGTTAATGCCTTATTATGTTCAAATTATCCATGATCGTATTAGGAACTGTGAGATGATCAAATGGGGCTCTATGCCATTCTTAATCCGTGACCTTAGTTTCCTGCTAGTGGCCCGTGACGCCATCCGTTGTACGGTTCTTCTCAGTTTTGTTTCATTTCACGCTTCATTTGCTCTGCGCACGACGATAATCACCACTACTCTCACGTAACACGCTCTGTCTTTGATGGTTGATCGCTTATGTTCTCGAAAGTAAATGCGATCGAACGTCATTTTGTTCCTTCCAAGAAGAGCTTTAGTGTTCAGAAGAGTTAAGGAAACGTACCAGAATTTAGTAACTTGATAGAAACTATTGATTTCTGAGGTCATCAAATATGAAGAATTTATAACTAGATCTTGCGAACATTGGAGGAAATGCTTTTTATTTTGTGAATGCTTAGAAATAAATATTTATGGATACCTGTTCAGTTGCTTCTCATTCTGAGAGGTTTTCTTTATTCGGCAAAATGCAGGTGAAATGTTTACATATTTCTCACCTCATACTTTTCTGATGAATTAACTATTTTATTGATATACCTGTCTGAAATTAAATGTCTTAGCCCACAAATGTTATTCGATAGACCTTTATAGAGTGTTAGCTCAAATCAAATCACTAGAAGATTTATGCACTCAAATGTGCGAATATTCACCATTTTACACCATATCTGTGGGTGCAAATTTGAAAAAACTATCCAAAATAAAAGTAAAATCAGTAGATACCGTCCTTGTCAATAAAGCCGGCAGTCACGTAATTCTGTGAAAAATTTATCCCTGTCAACAAGTAGCCGTGTGATATATGGTAAAACAGAATAATCATATGAAGAAGTACGTGCAAATAAAATGTTCAACCCTGAGCATGTGGATAATGTTGAAACAACTTTTTAAATTCGTTGTGTATAGGGCGCTGAGTGTTTGAGTGTATTTTGGTAGTAAATTCTCTAAAAGCTTATAGCTTTTTGCTTATGATACTTTCTGCAAGTTTGTCTCTGGTAAATTCAGTGCATTATGAGATATGTTTCAGAGATCTTGCCGAAAAATAAAGGTCTTCTTTCAACTTACCGGGTAAAACAATTAGGAGGAAGTACAACCAAAAAGTTCCAACCAGTATACATTTATGAATGAATCATCAGCCTAAAAGTTACCCAACGAACTCAAATTAACTTTAGGCACAACGATCACATGCATATTTTCACAGGTGAACAGTATTTTTAAAGTGATAGTCTGGCATTTTTAACTCTATCAGTTCACTTTAAAGCCATTCCATAGTGTTTCACAGTTATGGAATATTTTATAACTCCGAGGTAGCTGCCTCCAATTGGTCTGGGTTTGGACTGATCATTGGCAGTATCGATTACTGACTTGTGTGACCCATCGATCAATCGATGAAAAGTCATACGTAATAACTCGAAGTAATCAGTCATATTAGATTAGGATCTAGAGGCACACTTGTCCGCGCAGCGCTTTCTTTACCTTGGCATGGTATAAAATCACACTGAACGCTTTCAAATGCTTTTATTCTGAGTTACATTCATTTCCTTGAAACGGTCGGAAAGAATAACTGGTAATAAGTTTGTTTTCTAATGCGATAAGAATTATTACCATTTTTTTGGTGTTTAGTAACCATACCTTTAAAGGATGTCCCCATCACCCTGCTGATCTGCTATTCCAAGTTAAAACATCACGGAGATCAGCATAGAAGTAAACCCAATTCGTGGTTCAAATAGTACGAGAAGGTCGTGAACTTGACTACCAGAAAACTATTGATGATGAAATCAGTAAAAGGCACCAATCATTTGAAATAAATAACTGGACATTTAAGCTCACAAAGCGGAACGAGTAGTCCCCTGTTCGAATCTCGGCAATTCTGTCAGAGAATAGCAATCATCTTTCCAATGCGCAAACATTTACCTATATTGTGAAAGTCAAACTGAAAACTGGATTTTCTTTACACTTCTGCTATCAACACACAAGTGATGACTGGCAAGGGCTGCTGGACTGCTAGTTAGTCATTGTTGGGATTGCTTAGTGGTGTCTCTGTTGGAAATATTGCCACAAACCTTCGGATTGGGAGTCGAAAGCCTTGTTCCTGAATTACACGGTCAACAATCAACACAAATGACTCAAACATTCACAATATTCTGTTTTGTTTAGCCTAATCGATCTTTTACAGGCACCAAGCCTTATTGATGGTCTTAGTTGTGGGTTTCACTCCCTGGAAGCATTTTGATTCCCATGTTAATTGCTTTCATATTTGATCATAACATAGTTCGTTGGAATACGTCCCGAGACAAGATTATGGAAACAGGAAATGTCATCCAATAAATTTTTATTCAAACGAAAGTACACTCATAACTAGCAATTTGTACGGCAGAAAAAGTGTTGCGCTGCCGTAGATTTGACATACCTTTCTTGGATGAACAATGAGCACCCAGTCACCCCGTGTTTGTAATTCTGCATGGCAACTGGTAACCGTTGTGAGTTGGTGGTCAGTAGACTGCTGTAAACTACGGTCATGTGTCCCTCTAGTGACAGTGGCCACATGGACACGTTACTTCCAATGACTGACGAAAGGACAACGTTCAAGAGGGCCAATAAAGGTCAGCCAATCATGGCTTGTTAGACAAGACTTACTGATATCACGAAATCCAAAGCGATGTCTTTTCTTGGGTCAATTTCAGCGCAAACATGATTGCGTGGTGGTGAGTCCAGATCCACTGGGGCATGTTGGGTCTAGCGGAATGAGTAGGAAACCAGTCGGGAACAGATTGAATATCAATGAAATCCTTTAGGCAGGTTACTGCGTTTGGCCTGAAATTTCTGGAGTCAAGCACCGGAGATTGCGATGGTGCTTAAACGTTTTGGGTGTGAACGAAACAATCAACGCTCAAAACGAAATACAAAACGTGAAGGCGCATAGCTCTAAAAAGTTTCACAGTAAAAAAGTTTTACTGTGAGCTGAAAATTTTGCATATTTGATCAAAGAAAAGAAATTTAGTAGAGTTTGTTCCAATGTGTAAAACTACTACTATTACTGGCATGATCTGTATAAAGAAGAGCGGTGCCTCAACAAGTCAATTAATGATAAAAACTCTTTGACGTAATGGGGTGTACTTTTAGGCGACAGCCCAACCAGACTTGTGTCATACGTAGGATGCAATATTCTGATAAACATATTTATTTTTGGGTGACACCTGTTGCCGGAAATGGCATCAAATGGTCACAACAAAGTCGATTTTTATACATGATTACTTGGCGGTTCATAACTCCTATCCAACGCAATGTCAATTATCATTTGGTGATAGTCATAGTTTGAACCTACTAGAAAATATTCATTCCCATTCCGAACGGTTGCAAAGATGTAGGAGTTTAAAGGTCATCTTGATCAGAGAGTGTAAAAATGACGAAATGATATGAATTCAAATAGCCCATAGAGCATATGCTGAGAAGTCATAGGAAAGTTCTACGACATAATAATCGTTTTCCTTGGTTTTGAACGCTCTTCGCTAGAAGAAGAAGAATACGGGGTCAAGCAGTTTGGTTGGGGTAAAAACCGCGATGTTTCTGTGTAAAATAAAAGATAATTTTTTCTGATAGTTCATATTTTGGCTTCTAGTTTGAAAATCATCCAGATTTTCCAAAATAATAATTATTCCGCTTACGGAACCGAAGATAATCCAAAACTCTCGAGGGGCACATGACGTTTTTTGTGGGTTATTTAACTAAGCTTACAATGTCGGAGACAGACAAATTCCTGAAGAATAAAGTGCTTAGCCTACACCTTAAAATGAGACTGTAAACAATAAAAGAACTAGCACAAACGGAATTATTTGATCCTTAATTATATCTGAGTTTTCTACATCACAGTCAGCGAGAATAGATTAGCGAGTTTAAACTATTTTTATCCCGAAGCAGCTTNAGCAGCTTTCTC